TAAATAATGGTATTACTGATGAAATAAGAGATTATGGAGAGTTTTACACATTTTTTTTTGTTTTTACATTTGCACGACTTAGAAGTGCAACAGTTTCTTGGTAGGTGAATCATTTAGAACTGTTACTGAAGCATCTGCAGTAGGTATTTGCAACTGTTGAAACCTGAAAATGGATGAAATTTGATTAGATTTTATCATCATAAATAGATATTTTGTTAAATCAATTAGTATAGCGCAATAAGTGCAAAAACTAGTCAAAGTAGTAATAATATTAATGATAATATTAATGTTAATTTTTGATGTTTTAGAGAACTAAGCTTGTCTGTTTTCATTGCTATTAATAATAAGAAATTTGTAGAAAAAAAAAAGCAAGTTTTTAGTGCTCGCGCACAGGAACGATTCCTGAGTAAAGGTGAAACTTATGTACGTATTAAATTTCTGATACGTAATGAACGACTGGCAAAAAGTACCATAATGAACGCTGAATTAATATCGGGTAACATAATTTTAACTATAAAGTTGCAGTTTTTTGTTAATGAAAATTTATATTGACATATCTACTTAAAAAAACTTCATTTTCACGGTTTTTATCGCTCTTTTTGTACACATTAATCTAAATGGTTGTTAGTAGATAATCACTGCTAATCAAGAGCATCGACTTTGTTCAGTTATCAGGTTGAACTTTCGAGAGTTTAGAAAATGTTAGTGATTAAAAAAATTCTTCATGAACAGGGTCAACGATACTAGTGAACGGGAAGAAATTAACAAAATTATAGGACGAGGTTTTGTGGTCAAAACAACTGATGACTCAAGTGTAATGGACGTACGACTTTCTAACAAAGGTTCTTCTGGTTGGTTTGGAAAGATAATTCATCCCTCACAAGCTACCATTTATAAGGTTGGTTTTGTTTTGCTCAATTTCTTTTTAGATTCTTATTATTTTTGTAGTAAAAAAGTACATATTTATACGTGTCTTCAGAGTGGTCGCTAAATGATATGAAGTGCTAATGTAATTCAAAAAGAAATTACTCGAATAAACCTTTTTAGTCACTGGTGATTTTCTTTTAGGTTCTACCAACTCCAGGATCTCGGTTTGCAGTTTATAAAACAGGCAGAGAGCGTCCAGTTCTGCTTGTTGAGAAGGTAATCCTTATGGCATTTTTTCAAGTGATTCTGATGACAGTGATTGAAAGTGGCCAGTGAAATTTTGACACTGATAATTAAACCATTCAGCGGTGATCATCTAATACTTGAAAATTCTGTGAATTTAAAAAACACTTCATTTTTTGGTTACTACGCTGCTTTCACATTTCCATGTTTCCCCTGTTTAGCTATAATGGTGTAGGGACCAAAATGGCAGCAATTAACGGTTAACTGCTGTTCTTGATGAGAGTCGTTACGGCCAAATTTTGTCAAAGTTAAAACAGGACATGTTGAAGAATACATTACTTAATGAGAAGCTCAGCTTAATAATGGCTGAGTAGTTGGTGAAAAGATTTGATTTCAGGTTGGAAAGTAGAAGTGATCATACTTAATGTAATAGTTGACCAAAAAAAATAAGTTTGATTTTTAATAATTGATGAAC